GTGCCCCCGACTGTGAAGTCTGCTTTGCCCAAGCGAGGGCGGGGCCATTGCCCATCAACAGCCTCAATGGGGGCCGAGCTGCCGAGGAGACACAATTGCTCTAACATAGGTGACCTGCACTACGTGAGCTAGTCTACGGGGTAGGCACGAAGTAGGAGTGATCGTAACGTTTGTTCTTTAGTCGTTTGCTTGTGTATTCTCTACTTGCTCATTCACGGGGGGAATCGGCAGGAGTTTCACTAACAACCATAGTAGACAATGGCAAGGCAACATTGACTACAGCAGATGCTAGCATGCAAGCTTGTCGACTACCAGCGCAGCACGGCTGACCGCGTTCCAGCACGACAAAGTCGACCGCGCTCCAGCAGTGCAATGTCACGGCCTGCCAACACTAAAAGTCGACGGCGTGCTAACGTTGCAGCGACTCGGCTGCACAGCGTTGCACCCGCAGGACAGCAGTGCACCCGCTTTGTAGGTGCTTGCAGCTGGTTGGCGTGCTAGCCTCATTACGTGCACAGCGCAGACGCCAAGCTGACCACATGTCCACGTCTGCACCTGATCCTCCACATCGACCTCAGAATACCACACCAAGGTCGGCTTTGCCAGATCTACGCACCTGCGCAGATCCCCGTCGTTCGGGTAACTTGGTCGACCAGGCAACCACCAAGCCGGCGTCGACTTGTGTGTCCGGCGTCGACCAGCTGCTATATATGACCGTGCAGGTCGACCAAGTCCGTCGACGGCATCGTCTACTGCAGCTGTTCGGCTGTGCTCCCTGTACACCCGACAACAGGTTCGGCTCCGCCCAAGCGAGGACGGGGCCAACACACAACTCCCGTTGACATGCACCACACTCTTGGCCTACAGATAACTAAGGACAGAGCAGCGCGCACCACCACTCTCACTAGGCCCTCAGATTCATTTCAGGGGACCTTGATCCATCAGGGCTGCCCCTCCAAAAAAAGAAAAATCATACTGATTGATCAGTGCTGGGGTGATAAGGCAATCCTATTTTGTCAGTGCTACATGTAATTGGATCCTTAGGTATTAGTGCAGTATTCGTTCAACCACTGACAAGCGTAGCAGCCTAGATGATAATTTCATGTCTGTCATATTTGATGTTGTGGGTTCAAGCCCTGTTAGTCTCGCAAATTCAAGACGATTTTCAAAGGAATCCTGAAGGATCAGTGTTACAAGTATACCTCAATCCTGATTTGTCAAGGTGCATATTACTGAATCATTAGTCCTACATTTTAAACAATACTGATTTTTCAGTGCTGGATCATCAGACTAATTTTGAAGTCAGGGTAATCACATCTTTTATCCTAGGGCCTGAATCTCACTCAGTCAAACATGGTACAGCAGATCCTCCAACGTTGCACTAGCGCTCTTACTACTTGCTTGTGTTCACAGAGAAGTTTGGCAAGAGTTTCACTGAGGAAGGTTGAAAGAACATTGAACAATGAAAAGATTAGAGTACAACTGAGGCATGCAAAAAGATATGACTAAAATGGCATGCAACACCTAGCAAGCACTATGTAGGGTGAAATCTGCCAGCACAGCAGAAGACCAGCTTGCCAATGGTGCAGTAGAGCAGTCTGCCAGCATTGCACTGCGCGCGGTCTGCCAGCACTGCCGTCGCATTTGACAACCTGCAGTCGCATGTAACTATCTGTAGTCGCAGGTTGTTGATATGCGCAGATGTGTGTACCTACCAAGTAGGTGCAAGCATATTGCACAGGTGCCGGGTAAAAAACGTGTCGTCAGTTTTGCCAGGTGCGCACCGTTGACAACGTGCTGCCGTTCCGCAAGTCGAACTTTGCCTAAACCTCCTGGGCGATTTTTCGCACACCTCCGCAGAGTTTCGCATACCTCTGCAAGTTCGGTTGAACAACTCGACCCCGCTCGGTCGAACAGCATTCGCCGAGTAGAGCTCTTCGACCAGAATCGTCGACGAGCGCTCGTCGACCAGAGCTTGTCGTGCAGAGCTCGTCGACCCAAAGCTTGTTGCGCAGAGCTCGTCGACCAGAGCTCTCGACGGGCTTCGTCGACCACTGTCTTCGACCAGTGCTTCCCACCGTCGATGTCGACTAGATTTCGTCGAGCAGAGCCTGCTCGACCGCTACCTTCGTCGAATAATAGAAGCCCTCTTCTACAACCAATCCGTCAAGAACTTCTCTTCAACGGCGAGATCGGTTGCGCCCAAGCGAGGGCGGCGCCTTTCTCTTCGACACTTATGACGTACCCTCGTCCATTTTCACATATCCCCTCAGCATCCTTGCTTACTTTGTTGGGACTCGAAGACACCGACCTGAGCACTGGTCGGTTGACAGTCGGTTGCACTTACGGGATGTACAGAAGCGTCATGGACAGACGACATCAAGACTCTCAGGTCCTCCAGGGCTACTGCTTTAGTCTTGGCAGTGTAGCTGTTTCGTGGAGATCCACTCTCTTGTGGCTGGTGGCAAATCTCAGTTGTGGAGCAGAGATCTACGCCGGTGCTATGGGTGCTCAGGAGCGCTGCTAGTTGACATTCTTGCTCACTGACTTTTGTGAGCTATTTAGCTCTGCCCCGATCATGTTCGCTGATAGCAGGGCCATGATCCTTGTGTGTCAGGAGCCTAGATTAGGGTCCAAAGCAAAGCACATCCAGCTACAATACTTCATGCTACGTGAGCTACAACAATGCAGCTAGGCACACGCAGTACACTAGGCCTCAATGATCAACACTGCTGGTATCTTCACTAAGGCGCTCCCGTCTCGTGATCATTAGCAACTCTATACACATCTTGGCCTTATCGTAGAAGGACCTCCTTTGTTACGATCTTGATTTATGTACACTGTACTTGAGCTGCTGTTGTCTAGTTATACTTATTGTCTGGCCTTGTGACCCATTAGCTTAGAGAATGGGCTAGTAGTATCGCCCTGAGTTGTACCTCATATACATTGTTGTTCTTGCTAATTGTGTTTGTGGTCTATTGCCTTAGAGGCTGGACTAGTAGTGACGCCCTGGGTCGTTTCCCATTTTCTAGGGACTGCCCCTTACCTAGTATTGTGGGGTGTCAACATACGCATATACATTTGCATGTGTATCCTTTAGGCTCGGTTGGGTTGCACTATAGAGGGTACAAATTTGCTCGATATACCCTCTCTTTGTATGTTCTCATTATTGATCCAGTTTCTGACAAGAAAGACCATGCTTTTAAGCAAATGTAGGAAACAAACTAGCCACAACCTGAGTTACAGATATAGAGCACAGAGATGAACAGAGTTGAGGACTGGTGAAAGGGAACAAAAAGAGCGAGTAAGAGATGCGGTAAGGAAGCGACCTGAGCAAGGGAAGTGAAGTGTGAAGGGAGAGGGAGCGACGGAGCTGGGAGCGAACGGGTGAACAAGCGAGATAGCAACGAGCGAGGGGAGAGGGAGCGGCGGAAGCATTGCTAGTGATCGGAGAGAATGGCAAGGGAGGCACACGACGACAGGAGGGACGAAAGCACGAGATGCACGCGTCGAAGGTAGTGGTGGGAGAGGAGTGAGGAGGCGATAGGAGCAGCGGAGCGAGCTAGTAAGGAGTGACGGGCAAGCGGATAGGAGGATAGGAGCGTCGAGAGAGAAGCGCTAGAGAGGCAAGAGCACACGACGAGAGGAGCGACGAAAGCACGAGATGCATGTGTCGAAGGTAATGGCGGGTGAAGAGAGAGGAAGCAATGGGAGCAGCGGAGCGAGCTAGTAAGGGAGCAACGAGCAAGGAGATAGGGAGGATAGGAGCGTCGAGAGAGAAGCGAGGGAGAGGCAAGAGCAACGAGAGGGAGAGGCAGGAGTGACTGGAGGGAGGAGCGACGCAACGGGAGGGAGCGGTGGGAGGGACGAGAGGGAGAGGTGGGAGCGACGAGAGGGAGAGACGAGAGCAACGGGAGGGAGCGGCGGGAGTGACGGGAGGGAGCGGCGAGAGCGACAAGAGGGGAGACGGGAGCAACAGGACGGAATGGCGGGAGCGACGAGAGGGAGAGACAGGATCGACGGGAGGTAGCCGGCAAAGGGAGCGACGGACGAGGAGCAATGAAGTATGGGAGCAATGAGAGCAGAGCGAGGGAGCGATTAGATCAATGGAAGGGAGGGAGCAATATGAACAAGGGAGAGTTGTTAAATAATATTCTCTATACTGTATTTGCCTGTGGACATACTTAATGTAGCTACTTTCAAAATCTGAAGGTGGTCTACCTCTTGCCTTGCCTTGCCTCTATTTGTTCTCCCATCTCGATAGTCAAACCCTTGCTTCTTGCTAGACCAAGTCCTAAGAGCCATCATTTCATTAGAGCAACCTGAGGGAGGGGAGCAGTGAGGCAGTTGGGTGAGAGATAAGAAGGTGGAAGGAGCAAACGCGCTGGGGCTTTTCTGTTAGGGTGGTATGTTTGCTGGTTCATGAGGAAGGCGGCTGTTGGTTTTAGATGAAACAACAAATACAATTTTATCAGGGTAGAAAAAAAAATCAGAGTAAAACCCCGAGTCGGGGTCATTTTGGACAAGGGTTTCTTCTACTTACCGAACACATCATCGGTGCTGTGAGTGTTTTATCACTAACTCATGAATCTAGTTGCCAAACGCATGAAAAAACAGTGTAATGGTCAGCGCAAGCGTTATGGGGCCCTACTTGTGTTACCATTCTCATACTTTCCCCTTCTCGAACACAAAATGCAACAGCAGGCTCGGAGTAGCCACATTGCAGCATAAGTACCATCAGAGCTCAAATTAAAATTAGAACAGTATTGGGTTCAACATTAGAGTACCATATATACTGTTGAAACATCGGCCCTTCTCAGCACTATTTGCTCTCTACACTACTGATGCTCAGGGCAATTAATGTTCTTTGGAACTCTGTGTGGCCTGGGAGGCGCCGGAGAAAAGTCACACGTATTTACTGCTTGTCAGCTAGTAGGTTGGTGCTTTGGGAGTGATCCCAGGGGGAAATCCAGACTGGATATGCAGCTCAGCAGGTGATGCTAATGCAGCCGCTTCCTTCCTTTCCCCATGCCTCGGCTTCTCAGCAATCCGAAGCTGCTTCCGAGCCTGCTCCTTCCCACCAAGCCATTGGTACTTTCAACCCCACCGACTGAGCTCCCACCAAGCATTCCTCCCAACCCCCCTCCTCCCAACCCCCCTCCTCCCAACCCCCCTCCTCCCAGCCCCCCTCCTCCCAGCCCCCCTCCCAGCCCCCCTCCTGTACCACCCCCTAAACCCCCCCCCGTGTCATCTGGAGGGGCGATGCATGTGAGGCAGAAGGAGGGGCAGATGCGGCCGCAAAAGTCGTTGGGATAAGGTGCAGAGCCCAACGTCTTGAGTTGGGAGGAGCAGTTGGTGCCGTCAGCGGGGCATGTGAGTGTGCTGTCCACCATTCTGCGAGAGGCAAGACCGTGGGTGGGTGACGGGGGGAAAGGTGAGACGATATTTGAGTCGACTTAATGCTGTCAGCGGGGCATGTGAACGTGCTGTCCACCATTCTGCGAGAGGCCGATTCCCACGGGGGTAACAGAGGGAAGGGTGCAGGGTTGCTGTGAGTGAGGAGAGCACATTGGGTCGAGGTGGCTTGTGAGTAAATTGTTATTTTGAGACGTCTCAAAATGACACTTCTATCACCTACAGGGTTGCTGTGAGGAGAGCACATTGGGCTCGAGGTGACTTTTGAGTCGACTAAATAGCCACCTCGGGAGGTGACTTTGAGTTGCTTAAATTGCCACCTTGTAGGGTATTTTGCAATCCAGGATCGACAACTGCCAGGTGGAGAGCCCAGGGTGCACTGCCATGACATGGGGGTGCACTGCCATGGGGGTACACTGCTATGACATGGGGGTGCACTGCCATGACATGGGGATGCACTGTCATGACATGGGGGTGCACTGTTATGACATGGGGGTGCACTGCCATGACATGGGGGTACACTGCCATGGGAGCACACGAGTTAAGTTACCAGGAAAAGCTCAAGCTTTTGAACTCTTGCAGGCGAATCCTTAGCGGTTCGCACCTTAGCGGTTTGCACCTTAGCAGTTTGCACCTTAGCGGTTCGCACCTTAACGGTTTGCACCTAAGCGGTTCGCACCTTAGCGGTTTGCACCTTAGAAATTCGCACCTGAGCAGTCTGCACCTTAGCGGTTCGCACCTGTTCGCACCTTAGTGGTTCGCACCGCACACTCACATTTCTGTATTGAAGTCGCCGAGATAGGCTGGAAGCTCCCCTTCAAACTGGTTCTCCGACAAATACCTGTGTTCCGTGAGATTGCATGAGAAGTTGAAGGGATGTGAAAAGCTGGGTAACATGAAAAACATAGGTTCTCGGAGATGTTACAAGGATCAACTTATGGTTTAAACAGCAAGCTATTATTACAGCAAGTCGGCTCGCTCCAGGATTACATATTTGCTGAGATGGGTCACAGCTCCTTTACTTTCATGTGGCAATATCACAGCAACTTGACCTGTGCCAGCACTGTGCATTTGTTATGAGAATTGTGACAATTTTGACACTAATATGAAGGATAGGCTAGTTTGACCCCTCCTTACAGTGCCCACATGGACCAGTTGAAAGCAGAGGGAGGCAGAGGTCCTGAGAGGTTGTTGCGCCGTAGGTCACTGAAAGAAGGACGCAGCAGGAAAAGCAAGAAGAGGTTGATTTTTTAGACGCCTCCAAGATAGAAATCCTGGATTGCCCCGATTCTCATGCTCCGATTCTCATGCTCCGATTCTCATGCTCCGATTCTCATGCTCCGATTCTCATGCTCCGATTCTCATGCTCCGATTCTCAACTCACATGCCCCAACTCACATGCCCCAACTCACATGCCCCAACTCACATGCCCCAACTCACATGCCCCAACTCACATGCCCCAACTCACATGCCCCAACTCACATGCCCCAACTCACATGCCCCAACTCACATGCCCCAACTCACATGCCCAAACTCACGTGCCCCAACTCACGTGCCCCAACTCACGTGCCCCAACTCACATGCCCCAACTCACATGCCCCAACTCACATGCCCCAACTCACATGCCCCAACTCACATGCCCCAACTCACATGCCCCAACTCACGTGCCCCAACTCACATGCCCCAACTCACATGCCCCAACTCACATGCCCCAACTCACATGCCCCAACTCACATGCCCCAACTCACATGCCCCAACTCACATGCCCCAACTCACATGCCCCAACTCACATGCCCCAACTCACATGCCCCAACTCACATGCCCCAACTCACATGCCCCAACTCACATGCCCCAACTCACATGCCCCAACTCACATGCCCCAACTCACATGCCCCAACTCACATGCCCCAACTCACATGCCCCAACTCACATGCCCCAACTGACATGCCCCAACTCACATGCCCCAACTCACATGCCCCAACTCACATGCCCCAACTCACATGCCCCAACTCACATGCCCCAACTCACATGCCCCAACTCACATGCCCCCTGACTCACATGCCCCCCCGACTCACATGCCCCAACCTAAGTTGGATATTACGCTTACGTTTACGTACGTTTTACGTTACGTACAAGGGTCCAGAATGAGTTTACGTTTCCGGGCAGATTAGTTTATTTTCCGCTGCCCGGGTCATAAAAATTTCCCCGGGATTCGAAGTTGGCATTAACATTTTTTATGATAATGTTGTGGTTCAAGCTACGAAATTACAATCTCCAGCCAGAAATTTTGTTGCCGACCATTGTTTGTATCGGCGCGTCACTTTGTGACGCGTTACTTTTGCTAGGTGCACAAAATCGCTTCGGGCTTTCCCTCCAATTTCAGAATCGCGAGTCAACGTCCCCCCCCCCCTCCCCACAGTGTCATCACTTCAACCTCCCCACCTGTCCTTATGTTCCAGCCCCGTGACTTACGCGGGGCTCTGAAGGTTACGCTCGATGCTAGAGCTATAGATCCACGACCAAATCCTCTCACATCTTCTACGTAGATCTCCGTTCTAGATCCTCTAACCTAGATCCTAGAGTTCTTAAGTACAACCTAAGTGAAGATCTAAAAGATGGTGCTGCGAATTTAAATAGCGAGGTAGATAGTCACTAAATATAGCATAACGGTTATGAAAGAACCGTCAATCCTAAATATGGTATTTCGTACGCAGCTGTATGTGCTTCCCTGAGCGGTTGTGCCGCAATGATGCTCTCTTCTCCAGGGCCAATTTACAGAGTGCTTTTTTTTTTTGCCGGATTTTTTTCCTGCCCGGACCTAAGTTACGCGTATTTACGTGTACGTAAACGTAAACGTAATGTTACGCGTAACATTACGTTTACGTAGGTCCAGGGACGTACGGACCCATCTTAGGCCCCAACTCACATGCCCCAACTGACATGCCCCAACTCACATGCCCCAACTCACATGCCCCAACTCACATGCCCCAACTCACATGCCCCAACTCACATGCCCCAACTCACATGCCCCAACTCACATGCCCCAACTCACATGCCCCAACTCACATGCCCCAACTCACATGCCCCAACTCACATGCCCCAACTCACATGCCCCAACTCACATGCCCCAACTCACATGCCCCAACTCACATGCCCCAACTCACATGCCCCAACTCACATGCCCCAACTCACATGCCCCAACTCACATGCCCCAACTCACATGCCCCAACTCACATGCCCCAACTCACATGCCCCAACTCACATGCCCCAACTCACATGCCCCAACTCACTTGCCCCAACTCACATGCCCCAACTCACATGCCCCAACTCACATGCCCCAACTCACATGCCCCAACTCACATGCCCCAACTCACATGCCCCAACTCACATGCCCCAACTCACATGCCCCAACTCACATGCCCCAACTCACATGCCCCAACTCACGTGCCCCAACTCACATGCCCCAACTCACATGCCCCAACTCACAGGCCCCAACTCACATGCCCCAACTCACATGCCCCAACTCACATGCCCCAACTCACATGCCCCAACTCACATGCCCCAACTCACATGCCCCAACTCACATGCCCCAACTGACATGCCCCAACTCACATGCCCCAACTCACATGCCCCAACTCACATGCCCCAACTCACATGCCCCAACTCACGTGCCCCAACTCACATGCCCCAACTCACATGCCCCAACTCACATGCCCCAACTCACATGCCCCAACTCACATGCCCCAACTCACATGCCCCAACTCACATGCCCCAACTCACATGCCCCAACTCACATGCCCCAACTCACATGCCCCAACTCACATGCCCCAACTCACGTGCCCCAACTCACATGCCCCAACTCACATGCCCCAACTCACAGGCACCATGCCCCAACTCACATGCCCCAACTCACATGCCCCAACTCACATGCCCCAACTCACATGCCCCAACTCACATGCCCCAACTCACATGCCCCAACTCACATGCCCCAACTCACATGCCCCAACTGACATGCCCCAACTCACATGCCCCAACTCACATGCCCCAACTCACATGCCCCAACTCACATGCCCCAACTCACATGCTCCCAACTCACATGCCCCAACTCACATGCCCCAACTCACATGCCCCAACTCACATGCCCCAACTCACATGCCCCAACTCACATGCCCCAACTCACATGCCCCAACTCACATGCCCCAACTGACATGCCCCAACTCACATGCCCCAACTCACATGCCCCAACTCACATGCCCCCCGACTCACATGCCCCCCCGACTCACATGCCCCAACCTAAGTTGGATATTACGCTTACGTTTACGTACGTTTTACGTTACGTACAAGGGTCCAGAATGAGTTTACGTTTCCGGGCAGATTAGTTTATTTTCCGCTGCCCGGGTCATAAAAATTTCCCCGGGATTCGAAGTTGGCATTAACATTTTTTATGATAATGTTGTGGTTCAAGCTACGAAATTACAATCTCCAGCCAGAAATTTTGTTGCCGACCATTGTTTGTATCGGCGCGTCACTTTGTGACGCGTTACTTTTGCTAGGTGCACAAAATCGCTTCGGGCTTTCCCTCCAATTTCAGAATCGCGAGTCAACGTCCCCCCCCCCCCTCCCCACAGTGTCATCACTTCAACCTCCCCACCTGTCCTTATGTTCCAGCCCCGTGACTTACGCGGGGCTCTGAAGGTTACGCTCGATGCTAGAGCTATAGATCCACGACCAAATCCTCTCACATCTTCTACGTAGATCTCCGTTCTAGATCCTCTAACCTAGATCCTAGAGTTCTTAAGTACAACCTAAGTGAAGATCTAAAAGATGGTGCTGCGAATTTAAATAGCGAGGTAGATAGTCACTAAATATAGCATAACGGTTATGAAAGAACCGTCAATCCTAAATATGGTATTTCGTACGCAGCTGTATGTGCTTCCCTGAGCGGTTGTGCCGCAATGATGCTCTCTTCTCCAGGGCCAATTTACAGAGTGCTTTTTTTTTTTGCCGGATTTTTTTCCTGCCCGGACCTAAGTTACGCGTATTTACGTGTACGTAAACGTAAACGTAATGTTACGCGTAACATTACGTTTACGTAGGTCCAGGGACGTACGGACCCATCTTAGGCCCCAACTCACATGCCCCAACTGACATGCCCCAACTCACATGCCCCAACTCACATGCCCCAACTCACATGCCCCAACTCACATGCCCCAACTCACATGCCCCAACTCACATGCCCCAACTCACATGCCCCAACTCACATGCCCCAACTCACATGCCCCAACTCACATGCCCCAACTCACATGCCCCAACTCACATGCCCCAACTCACATGCCCCAACTCACATGCCCCAACTCACATGCCCCAACTCACATGCCCCAACTCACATGCCCCAACTCACATGCCCCAACTCACATGCCCCAACTCACATGCCCCAACTCACATGCCCCAACTCACATGCCCCAACTCACATGCCCCAACTCACATGCCCCAACTCACATGCCCCAACTCACATGCCCCAACTCACATGCCCCAACTCACATGCCCCAACTCACATGCCCCAACTCACATGCCCCAACTCACATGCCCCAACTCACATGCCCCAACTCACATGCCCCAACTCACATGCCCCAACTCACATGCCCCAACTCACATGCCCCAACTCACATGCCCCAACTCACATGCCCCAACTCACATGCCCCAACTCACATGCCCCAACTCACATGCCCCAACTCACATGCCCCAACTCACATGCCCCAACTCACATGCCCCAACTCACATGCCCCAACTCACATGCCCCAACTCACATGCCCCAACTCACATGCCCCAACTCACATGCCCCAACTCACATGCCCCAACTCACATGCCCCAACTCACATGCCCCAACTCACATGCCCCAACTCACATGCCCCAACTCACATGCCCCAACTCACATGCCCCAACTCACATGCCCCAACTCACATGCCCCAACTCACAGGCCCCAACTCACATGCCCCAACTCACATGCCCCAACTCACATGCCCCAACTCACATGCCCCAACTCACATGCCCCAACTCACATGCCCCAACTCACATGCCCCAACTCACATGCCCCAACTCACATGCCCCAACTGACATGCCCCAACTCACATGCCCCAACTCACATGCCCCAACTCACATGCCCCAACTCACATGCCCCAACTCACATGCTCCCAACTCACATGCCC